AATTCATCTGGGACGTAACTGAACTGACAGATTGAAAATTTTGCGATTGCTATCCAACGAACTGAGGGATATTTATCCTATCTTTACATAGGATCGTAATTTATTGCAAAAGTCTTAGCAATTTTTGTTAACAATAATCTATTCCGCCTTTTAAGGAGAGAGTATAGAATAAAGCAATATTATACCTAATTTAGTTGCGCAGGAATTTTTCGAGGTGAGAAAGTAAGCTCGGTTTAAGCAGTGTTGAGACGTAATGATAAAAGTTTTTTTTTTTTTTTTTGCAATAGAAAAAGATTAGATTCTCCTTCACTGAGGAGAATTCAAACTTTTTGTCAAGCGTTCATAGACTTTTAAGTAAAAAATCTTAAGTTTAAGATTAACACTCCCAAAATGCAATATATAAAAAATATATAAGAAGAACGAGAAGAAAAAAATAAAATGAATTTGCACAAAGATAGAAGGTTGATAAGGAAACAATAATATTAATGTAAAGATAAAATACCTGAGTTTGGCGTTGTTACAATGACTTTCGAGACTGTCAAAATTGTTAACCACTTTCGAGGTGCCGAGTCAAAGAAAGATTTAAAAAGAGTTGGAATTGATGAAAAACAAATGAAAAACAAATTAATTATGTAGAAGTTAAATTGACCTTGACTATGACGTCAGATGTAAACAATCTATTGTTTAGTCGAGAAAAACATGACTTCTAACMTTTAATAATGAATGAAATTTTGGTAAAATAAATTGTTTTTGAAGAGAGATTGTAGCTAACGATTGTATGTAATATTTTAATTTTTTGGGTCTTTTCTTGGACATTTCGTGTAATTTTTGACATCTAAATCACACTCGTGATGGGAAAAAAATTATTTTCAAACAAAGTAAATCGATGAAAAGCAATTCATTTATTTTGATTTATCGATCTTGGTATAATAGATTTACACGAGCGTGCGATCTAATTGGCGATATAAATGACTGATGTTTCGATGTTTGCGACATCATTGTCAAAATGAAATAAAAATAATTAGAATAATCGAGCGTACTGACTCTTGATTATTCTAACTCTTTCTATTTCATTTTGACAATGATGTCAGAAACATCGAAACGTCAGTCATCTATATCGCTAGTTTTTATCATCTTATGAAATATCTACATGCATATTTTGTTTGCATGTCCAAGTAATAACAGCTTGTGTGATGCAATTTTCACGAATTCAGACATTTGTTCTTTTAACAAATCTTCAGCATCAGGATAAGGAGGTAAATTGTACGTCTGCACRTTGAAGCTAAAAACTCTTAAGTAAAATACACACAGCAAAACATTCCTTATTACAGTTGTTGAAGCTTTTTCTTCATTCCTCTTGCGTCTTATTTGGAATTCTTCAAAACATTTGAAGACAATTTCAGCCCATTCTTTAGCAGTTAAAAGAACTGAATTGTCTTAACACTGGATCCTTTTCACAACATTTTCCATTTGTCTTTCATCGTTTTTTGCTTCATTGCGCAAATCATACAGGATACTACCCTGAATGCCATGCTTCTCAAATTCACTATAGACATCTTGGATGCGATAACAAAAATCACCCAAAATGTCTTTGTTAGTTTGAAAAGCTGGGCTCGTGACATCGTCACTATAGACATCTTGGATGCGATAACAAAAATCACCCAAAATGTCTTTGTTAGTTTGAAAAGCTGGGCTCGTGAATAAATTCAAAAACTTGACAAGAGCTCCTATGACTTCTGCGCTATCTGACAGCTCTACCTTTAAATTATTATGATTGACAGTCTCTATATCGACTACAGGAACTGTTGTTACTTCTTTTATCTCCAGAGTTTCGTTAGATTCAATGAAGTCTAGCAAACCATTAAAAAGGCTCCTACCCACTTGCAAAAACATAGCACTAATTTGAATCCTGGCATCTTGTCCAACATAGTCGATCTTTCTCGGAAGAACTACCTGGTCAATAACATCTTCACTCGTACCAGCAGTGAAGGTCATGCCTATGTCGATACCAAACTCTCTCCAACTACGTGACCACCTGTGRACCTCAGTGAACCGTGCAAGCATCTTTCTATCAAAGGCAAACTCTCCTCCTATTGGCTGGCGTACTACTTTGCGGCTGATGGCAGTAAAAAGAGGAAACATGAGGTGATTGGTGGCTCTTCCCTCGTATTTATAACGCCAGTATAAAGGAACAAGGTATGAGAAACCTTTGTGTAAGCCAAGACACATGCGATACACAAAACCATCGGTCCCTATGAAAGCCAAACATTGCCAACATTAGTGACAATAGTGAAGAACCGATAAGACGGTTCACTGAGGTTCGCAAAATAGTTAATATAACATTGTTGTGGAATCATTCAGATAATGTTCAACTGGTAACTGGAGCAATACATGATACGCAACTCTCTGTTCTTTTCCCAATTTTAGGCCAGTGATGTACCCAAAGACTCAAAAAAAATTGTAATATTATATATATATTGACAATAGTTTTACTACCTCTCAAGTCTCCATCGATACACATGACGAACCCTGGGGCATGACTGTCTTGTCTCATAGCATAATGGTGGATAAAGTTAAATGAAGACTCAAACTGCGAGCCTTTGCCTCGCTTATCTGTCTTCCCAGAAATTGACGAGAAGATGTCACTGTCTTCTGTCACAACAGTTGCAAAGTCGATTTTGTATCTAAACCAAAGAAATAATACCCAGTATAACCCAGTGGAGGATTCCCTAGTATCCCAAGTGCATTAGCACGCTTATTATTAATTTCTTTGGCATTAACCGGTTTATGTGAATCTTYTTGTAATGTTACTTCTACCTGATACTCTAACATTACTAATACTAAGGTGTTGCTTTAGAACATGACTAATTTGGCAAATAAAAGTGAATCTTTTTGTAATGTTACTTCTACATGATACTCTAACATTACTAATACTAAGGTGTTGCTTTAGAACATGACTTATTTGGCAAATAAAAGTGAATCTTTTTGTACAGCGTTACTTCTACCTGATACTCTAACATTACTAATTGCTTACTATCAATCACGTGACTTTTTTGGAGTTGACTGGGGGGCAAACAAGCGGTTGACTGGGGGGCAACTAGCGGACGCCAAGTCAAAACATATCAAAATAAATCCTCAAACTATTGTATTTGACTATTTCCACGACATCAAACCAGAAAACAAGAGATCAAAACAACCTCCAGGATTCTACAAGCCATCAAAAAAGAGCTATTACCGGAAGTGACGTCTATATAAACTCAATAAATTATTGTTATTATTATTATTATTATTATTATTATTATTATTATTATTATTATGAGACACATGAGACACAAAAAAAGAACATGAGACACTGACTCCTTCAATCATGTTTCGGTGGTAAACGCTATTTCAACACTGTTCCGTGAGATAAATTCTCTAACTTCATCCACTTTAAAAGCCAAAGACATCACTTTGTCAGCATTACAGATGACACTTTTGCTGTTGTGCAGTTCGAATTTTGCACTTGATTGAATTCAGGGTTAGATTCGATTGTTTCCATTCCGGTAGAGAGACTGGCGTTGGTGTCGGTTTGAATATTTAATAAGTTCGATAGATTTACTCCATGTTGCTTACACCCGGTATATTCTCGCTCATCAGATGGCTGTAAAGTAGGAATTCTTCGTAAATAAAACTTTCGTCGATGGTTTCATCCTCGTTGACCTCTAAACGGTGCAAGAATACCGTACCGAACGTAGCGTGTTACAAACTTTACTTGATCAACTGCTTTTCCACTGAACCGCAACATTTCAAAGAGATAGCAGATTTCCAAGAATTACGCAGCAAAAACAGCATTTCTCTTGAGTACAAAAACATCTTACAACAACACACTGATACAACAGCACACTGATACAACAACACACTGATACAACAACATACCAATACATTGATACAACAACACACTGATACAACAACACACTGACACAACAACACACTGATACAACAACACACTGATACAACAACACACTGATACAACAACACACCAATACATTGATACAACAACACACTGATACAACAACACACTGATACATTAGCACACCAATACATTGATACAACAACACACTGATACAACAGCACACCAATACACTGATATAACAACACACTGATACAACAGCACACCAATACATTGATACAACAACACACTGATACAACAGCACACCAATACATTGATACAACAACACACTGATACAACAGCACACCAATACACTGATACAACAACACAATGATACAACAGCACACTGATACAACAACACACCAATACATTGATACAACAACATGCCAATATACACTGGTACAACAACACACTGATACAACAACACTCCAGACATTGATACAACAACACACTGACACAGCAAATTCATTTGAATATTTGTTAGGGTGGCCAAAATTGGTAAAGTTGCACTGTAAGGACATCTTTACTTAAATTTGGTGACACGATTGTGATTTCCCAAAAGTGTTTTGTTCCCTTTGGGTTGGGGTTAAAACACGGATTGTGATATTGGGGTGGAAAAGAGATGCCGCGTTGGAAAAAAAAAGTCAATAGTCTACGCATTGCATTTTAAAAATAATATCTAAAATAATAATATGTGATAAAAGCATCAAACTAGTCTCTATGCTTTTCTATTAATCTCAAATACCTATACATGATGATAATATCACTTTATTTTCAAAGAGCATACGTTTAAGATTACAATGAATATGATCTAATAATTATACATTAATATGTACAAACACAACTAGTCTATATAAAAAATAAATTGACTTAATTAACTTAATTAACTTAGTAATTAAGTGTTTAATTAAATTAAAACTTAATAAGTTACCATATGATTTCAAACTTAACCATGAGGGCTAAAAACACTTTCATAATGTAGTTCACAACTTCCACACTCTGTCAACTGTAGACTCAAATGATTAGTGAAAATATGTTATAACACTATGTATATGTTGAGGAAAAAAGAAAGAACGAAAGGCAAGAAAACCGGCTCATCTTGCAACACCAAGAAATACCCAGAAAACCGAGCAACACAGAATAGAAAAAGGAAGAGGTTATTGCAACTGAAAGAACCAAGTCCTAAGATAATATAAATGTCTCCTTGAATAAAGCAACAGGTGGCGTTTAAAAATTACAACAAACTTGACCACCAACAAATGATAATAAATAATGCAATTAACGTACAGTGGATTCCACCGAGTGGCTCTGTTTCCACTGCATTCCAATTGGACTTTAGAACTTGATTTTTAACCTCGAAAAGTAAACGAGAACTCTACTGACATACAACACCGAGCACGCACGGCTTGACCCGAACTACGCCACCCGTGTTTCCAATAGAAGACCACATGACTGACCGGTACCTTTGCTAGTGACATCTCATTGTTATATTATAATTAATTCTTTTAACTTTCTTACGAAGACTCTCAAGTATAACTGTTTCATTTCTGACTTTAATCATTTTTATTTCCAGGTAAATCATTTCCGCCAAAATGGAGAAGACAGATCAAACTGATTTATAGATGTCAATGCTTTTTACCTGTATATCAAACACAAATGGCAAATACAAATTTCTTGGATGTCTTGGTAAGTCTGATCTTTTTAGAAAATCACCGAAGAACAAATATTTCACTAACTCTTTGAAATACTTGATAAAATAACACGTTTACGTTGTACTACTGTTAAAACTTTTTTATGCAGGCGTCTTCAGATCAGATTACATTATTTGAAAATTTCACGCCATAAAAATGCTAAAGAACATTTTAGAGTTCACAGCTAGTTAAATATTTAAGCAATAGAAAATATTTTCCGTGTTTACATAGTCTGATAGCAACACGAGGGGAGGTTGGGAKAATTCGAGACAGTTATGCAAACCCGGGGAAATCATATATTCAAACAGCCATATCTCTGTTCTTTCGAAATTGAGGATCGAAAATTGTAAAACTGAGCAAAATTTGACTTTCCGTGACGTCACATTTCGTCACATACTCTATATATCCCAGTATTTTATAAACCGAGTGTTCATTGGTCATTTCATGATTTATAAAAAACGAAATTTAATCTTACTCCGCCAACGCGATGGTCGCGCGTTCGAGCTCCATAAAATACTTYGTATGGACCTCACAATTTTAAATTAAATCAAAGGTAAACCCATGGTAAGCTCGTGAAGCTTTTTGAGTACCAATGAACTAAGATGATAACAAATGACACTTGGTGACTCATTTCATTGAGGGTATTGTGACCCGAGTAAGGCGGTATAGTCGGAGTTATGTTTTGTGCAAACAAACTGTTGTCTTTATCAATTAAATTATTGGCTTGTTCTGATTGGCTACAATCCTTTCTTTTCCGATTTCTGGTAACGAAATTTTCCTACGATTGGGATTATCTGGACCGAGTAGTCTAATCGATCCAATATATGACAAACCAGGCTGTTTTCGGATTCTTCTTCCAACGTAATGATAAATACGACAATCTCATATCTCAAGGTCCAATAAAAAGAGCATAAAGTAAACTAAGAATACTCAAAATATGCTGCTGATTACATGTTATTATGAAGTGATCGAAAATCCAAAATGGCTTCATCTGCAAACAACGTACCCAAAACGATTGGCTGAGAAACGTTATCCGAAAAATGCGAAATCTAGCCACTCCAATAGCTCTTCACGAGCTAAAAAGACGATATTTTACTATTTCTAGACAGCATAGTAACCAAATTATCGAAATGCGAGCGTTCCTTAACTTGTCAGAAAGTAAGGCATAACAACATCAAAATTTGAATTTTGATCGAAAGTTTGTCTATTTTAACAGTGTCACCTTTTTTTTATTTCTTGGTTTTAACGCATGCGCTCTAAGTAGATGATTATACTTGTATATCTCATATGATTTTGATTGGTTATAAAGCGCTTAGGACAGCGATAGATAAGCACTATATTAAATTCATATTATCATTATAATAATTACCGTGGATAAATAAAGTTTCGCTAATTCAATCTATCCTCCATTCATCCATTTCCTTCATCCATTCACACATTTTTTGAAATAATATCTTTTTCATTTTCTTATCTTGTTACAGAAAAGAAAGTTTCTAGCGCTGATGTGTTTCTCCGTCGCAGTTGTAGTTATTTTCTACTTTTCCACCARTGAAATCAAGCGTTCTAATGAGCATAACCACCGTCAACCACTGTATAAAAGAAAACTATGGCGTCACTTGAATCCGGCACAAGAACAAAGCCAACGTAAGGAAATTAGGCCACTTTCTCTTCCTGAAGGAATTCTGAATGTTTGGTCCCGTCGGCGTGATGCACAACGTACGAAGTTAAAGCAAAACGCTACATCGTTCAAACGAAGTGAGACAATGGATACTCAGTCTAGTAAGGAAATTAGGCCACTTTCTCTTCCTGAAGGAATTCTGGATGTTTGGTCCCGTCGGCGTGATGCACAACGTACGAAGTTAAAGCAAAACGCTACATCGTTCAAACGAARCGAGACAATTGATACTCAGTCTAGTTATGATTGTTCATATGAAGGCCTTGGTGATGCAGCAGCGACAATCCACAGCCATCAACCTACTTGCATTCCATACAACAGATCGAAAAAAGATTGTAATAAAGCTTTTGAATATTATGATCTCTTCGATCTGAGTTCAAAACCCGTAAAATGTAAAGATATCTCCGATGATGATCCCATTTGTATTTTCAAGACACAAAATCGACTGAGTTTTGACGACAATGAGTCCAGCGTTGAATGTGATCCAGATATTTGTGATGGTGATGAAGTCCTTGTAGGATGTAGAGATGCAGTCTACGGTATCATCCCTAAAGAAAAATCCTGGCTGAGATTCGAATCGGTGGAGATTCTCCAGAAACAACTACCCAGCATAATCAAGGAGAACTCGATAAACGGTATGAATTTCTGTTTTATAAAATGTGCCAATGACGAAAAGCCGCAGCCACTTATTTTCCCGCCATTACTAAGACGGTTCCGAACGTCGAGTGACCGAGATAGAATCAGTGTTAATATCCTAGTGGAAGATGCTGTATCTCGTGCGCACTTTTACAGGTCTCTTCCAAGAGCTACCGACTTATTGCGCAAACTAAAACGCTCCAAAATCTCCACCGTTCAAATACTTGACTTTGAGCTGGTTCAGAGTTATGCGTCGTTTACTGTGGAAAACTTGAGAGCTTTATTCAGTGGAAAGGAGCTGATGGGAAAATCTGAGACGGGAAGAAGAACTGGCATTGACGAAATGACGAAGCGTTTTCAACAGCGAGGATACCAGACATTAATACAGGAGGATTTGTGCTTCTTTGATGAGTGGGGTTCTGCACTTTCCGAAAGTTATCAAAAAAGGTCGAAACCTTTCTCTAAGAGTTTTAAGAGAGTTTTTCAGGAATATTTGAACCATACAAGTTACTTGGACAATCGCGGACTCACTCATTTTGCGTGTGAGGTTTTACGCACTTATGGCTATACCAATCCTTTCAGTAAAAAGCTTCCGGAAATTTGCTTGGATGGGAAATTCGTCAGCCAATATCTACTAGAATATGTTGAACATTTTTTGCGCGGCGTTGAAAGCCAGAACAATGTTGCTCCTGCTTTTGTGTTCACGCATCTGAACACGGCGCACGAAAGCAAGGGGATTCGAATACGAGAAGATGATATTCCCTTGGGAAAACATATCAAGGTCGTATCCAAATTACAAAATACAATAACTATAATCATATCTGATCACGGGGCAAAAACTAACAAATACTCTATCGAAACTTTTCATGGAAGACTAGAAGTGTTTTCGCCATTAATGTTCATGATTATACCTGATAACGTTGCCAAAATCCTTGGCAAGTCACGTGTTCAGAATTTAATAGCCAATCAAAAGAGACTTGTTTCGCTAGTTGATTTACATGGTATGTTGAATTCATTGGTTGAGATGCCGTCAGCGCCCGCAGTAATGGATTATCGAGTCAACGGTCTTCTTTCTGCAATCCCTCTCAACCGCACCTGTTCAGATCTTGAAGGTCTGAATTCAGATGTTTATTGTCGTTGCAAAGGATGGAATCGATTTATTAGCACTAGTAACCACGAAGTTCATTGGCTGGCTGAGATAGCGTTGGGGCACATTAACAACATTATAACACAACAGTTTACTAAGGGCCGTCGTCCCAAATTTGACCGCTCTCGTATAGGTTACGGCGCATGCGCAAGATTTCTTGGTAAATCCGTCGAGACAGCGCGTCAAGAAATCTTGGGGAATTACGTCATAACCATCTTGTTACTAATGGTTACGCCGGCGTACGGCGTAGATTCAGTGGAACGATTTCAGGTTAAGCTCAACTATTCTTCGGTTGGCCAACCCAATGTTCAAATTATGGATATTGTGAGAGTCAGTGTGTATGGGAAGTACAAAGCATGCGTAGATAAGACTGTTGATGTCAAGCTATGCGCATGCGCTGAACGGAAGAAGACAGCTAGTGGCAGGCCACGGCCTGATCTTCGTCAACTTCTATCAAGTCATCATTTTGGGCTGAAAACGTCGTTGAGATTTCTGTCGTCGCGTTGTGTGATATTTGGAGAGAGGACATTGAAAACCAAAGCATTCAAAAAAATGCAACGTCGAGTCATAGCATTCGAGATTGCAAACCAGTGTCGAAAGAGAACTTTTAAGTTGAAGCTTAATGGAAGTTTGAGACGTTCACTTGTATCGCGGAAGCTGCCATTTACTTTAGTCCTTAAACCTCGTACTGTTATGTTTTTGTATGCTGTTAATAACGGGTGGAAGTATGGAAGATTTAAGCCTCTGGTAAGGCTCATAGAAAAGTAATTACTCTTATGGAAATGGTATGTAAATTAGATGTCGCCATTACTAGGTCAAGTGATAGAAGATAATAAGAGAGAATATTAGAGAAAGAGAGAGGAGAGAAAGGAGAGAAAGGAGAGAAAGGAGAGAGAGAGAGAGGAGAGAAAGGAGAGAAAGGAGAGAAAGGAGAGA